ATAGGGGCGAGGGCAGGTGTTTCTCTCGGCTGGAGATGCTGCTCGCTCCGTAGACCTGCGCTGCCTCTCTATCTCCCTTCTCTCGTGTGCGCGCAGCGTTAATTCGCGCATCTAAGGGATTGTTACCATCTCCACCTCTACCTCCCTACCTTTCGACTCGGACTACCCGTGGGAATTAGTGATCTGAGCACGCCCAGAGCTGCTTGCTTGCTTACCGAACGCCAGTTAGCTTTCTCGCGCAGACATTTTTCTTAGTAGCTTTCTTGGGGGGGGGGGGGGGGAGGGGTCGAGCGATGAGGTAACGGTAGGGGAAGCGAGACAGGTTCGCACCTCGAGCGGCGAGTGGTTCCCTGGCCCTGGCTAGTATACTCATGTGGTTCGGCAGCTGCGAAGAATTCCACGGGCGTTGGGCTTGGTTGGGAATAGGTAAGGCCCCCCCGGGTCGACGGCGGCGGCTTGGAGTCCGATGCGGGAATATCATGGGGTGGGATGGGACGAGGCTGGGCCCGCGTCTAGCTGAGGCGAGATAGCTCCGGCATGTTTCCCTTCCCATGGAACTTTTGGCAGGCGAAAAGCGTTGGGACCGACATTTCGGAGGGTCTCCTGGCAAGCAGCTAGACGAAGACGATGGGGTAGGTGTGGGTATCTAGACAACACAAGACGAGATGTCGCGTCCATTCCTCTTGGGTTGGCATTACGAACACGGATAGATAGATGGAAGTATGGATGTAGGCTAGGTGAGAATAGGGCAAGGAGGGGAAGCGAAAGTGTTCGGTCCCAGAGCTTGGGGAGGTGGGAGTAGTGTGTTGGGATGGTGATTGGTAAATACGATTAGTAGGTAGGATTAGTAGGTCGTATTCGAGGGAGAGGCATGCGCTACGAACATGGAGAAGTCGGTCAAGCTGCCGGACAGGTTTCGATCTCCTTGCAGCGTTAAGGATATCTCCGTCTCTCGTCCCTCTATCTCTCGTCGACATACCTGAGCAGTCCAGCGTGTGGGTGCGGAGGATTCATGTCGACGGGGAAGACGGCGGGGGAGGGGAAACAGCTTGGCTGAGGAGAGGGGGAGGATGGGAGAATCTGGATTTCCGGTCTGCATGCATACAGGAAAAGCTACCAAGGTACCTGGACATCTAAGAAGAGGAGGTACCTCTCTTAGGGCACTTTGCTGCCTGTCCATCGGTGGCTGGGCGGGCGGCCGGGCGGAACCAGGGCCCGGTAACCCCCTAAGTGAGTGCAGTACCGCGAACCGCCGACGCGGTGGGGCCTAAGTACCTAAGGGCCGGCAGGCCATACCCACGTTGGGTAGCCAGGTCCTTTTAAGCTCTCGCTCGCCTACGATCTTCCCGGATCGACAGCGCTAAGCAAAGTACCTAACCCTAGGCTGCCTTAGGCACCTTTGCCCTCTACCGATGCGCCGAGTTGCGCCAAGCGCGGATGTAGGCAAGTAGGTTAGGTACCTAAACACCTGCTATAGGTGGGTGTATAGGTACCTACCTAGGAGCCTACCTAGAGACGTAGGTAAGAGGTACCTGGGTAGGTAACCTACTTCTATAATGCCTACCGTACGCAAGGTAGGGGTAGGTATGTAGGTAATACTAGGTAGCGGGTAATACGTGCGGGCGAGTAGGTAACATGTAACCAGAGCGAAACTATACCTAGCGGCACATACCTACCCCCTACGGTAGGTTTTCTCAATAATAGACATCGGGTAACGGGCTGTTACAGGCAGATCTTGGGCGGCGGCGTTGGCTACGTTGGCGTAGATACTTAAGCTGCCTAGGTAGGTACTTCTATGCTCGCCTCTCTGCTCGGTTACGTTACTAGGTAATACGCCAGGTTGCGACGCCGTCCCTATAGGCAGGGATCCTGTCTCTCCCTTAGGTGCCTTACCAACAACTTACAAAAGCCCCTAACCTACTCCCGACTTCGCAACGAATTTCCATGTCTAATACCCGGCGACTAGAAACTCGCCTATTGCCTCCGGGTTGCGCGTCGCCGGTGACCCCTTCTCTGTCCCTTCCTCTTTTCCCCTCCCCCTCCCTCACGCTGGCACGAGGTGATCTCATGACCCCAGTCTTCGAGGTGCTCGCTTGCGGTGGGCATCTGCCGCGCGCCAGGGAGAGGAGCGAGTTAGACATCCGTCCGTCTGGCTGTCTAGTTCGCCACGGCCGCCGCTGGCCGGACCTGGGTCGCAGAAAGTACCTACACCGTAGGCTAATCGTGCGCGGAGCCCGGTGTTGCTACTACCAAGTGCAACGTTTCAGTTGTCTTCGCAGGAGACGCGGCCGGGAGAAGGGGGTAAGTGAGTTTGTAGGTAGTTGGGTAAGGGCGGCTGAGAGAGAAGAGAGTCTCCCATCTCTCACAGCGATGCTAGGTCGACCGGGTAACAGAAACAGGAGCAGCAGAAGCGGCCGGTCCTCTGCGGCTCTCGACTTGCGCACGTAGGCGGTAGCCAGCCGTAACGCCTGGAGAGGGCGTCGTGTGATGTGATGAGCCACTTCGGAGCTATATCGGGAAAACGTCGCCATATGCGTCAGCCAAGGGGTGGCGAGGTCAAGCCGTCGTCGACGACCCTCCGCACATAACGCGCCTACGCCAGCGCTCATATTACCGGCTAGCCGGCTGGCCGAAGGGAAGGGGGGGGGGGGGGGGGTCGGCCGGTTGGCTGGTCTGGTTGGGACGGGTAGGCAGGCCTATGTGGCTCTGCTGCCCTGCTACGGCTAGCTCAGCACAGGGCGCACTGCTGCCGCATCCCGGCTACGAGACGAGTACCTCACGGCAGCAGGTCCTCCCCTCGGGGCGAGGGTTACGTATCGCGGCTTTACCGGGTCTATTGCGTCGTCTCCAACGGGGCATCCGTAGGACACCTCACGTCTGACCTCAACGGGGGTAGCCTCACCAGCCTAGCGGCTGTCTAGCGGGGTGGTTCGGCGGCTTAGGGTCATGTTCTTTTACAGCCAAGCCCTCTCTTGTCTCTCTTTCACACACACACACACACACACACACACACTCTCTCTCTCTCTCTCTCTCTCTCTCTCTCTCTCTACTTCTCTGCCTCTAACGAGCCGTCGGTCGCTCCTAGCTGGCCGCGAATCTATAGGTACACGGTAAATCTCAGTCTCGATAGGCCCAGAGAGCACGTCACCTGTCGATACAGATTGCTCCCGTCTTGCTATCAGCGGTAGCCCACATCGGCGGGGTCTGATTGGCCGTCCCTGTCGGGTGGATAGATATGGCCATTTTCCCATCTTACGATCATGCCTGGCGGGTATTCCGTGCAGGCGAAGTCCGCCTTGGGTCAATTATTGTGCGCCCCGACTATGCTACCCGGAGGAAGGGAGTCCTACTGCACTCGGACGCCGCCGGTGGTCAGGCTCAGGTACGCGCTGCACTCTGGGCGTCGCGTCCTCTCAGAGAATCTGCTGGGGAACCCCCCGCTCCCCGCTCCCTTATGGCCGGGCTCCGATGACATCCGGCGGTCTGATGTGTTGTTCCTGAACCGACCACGGCCCTAAGTCGGATGGCTAACGTTCATGTGTGTGCGGCTTGCGTAACACGCCAAACCGAGGCGAAGCCTTTTGTGTATGCACTTCTGCGATTCGACCGAAGTCTAACCCGATCTGATAAATATGCACCTAAGGGGAAAGAATTACACGAATCCTCATCTTGTATGCGATGCTATTGTCCGGTACCTCCGCAGTTGTGCCTCTATTATGCCCTTGCCGTAGTTCTGTAGTTTGGTCGCCGCTCGCTTAGACGAGTTCGCCGCGGTGGAGCCGCCGACTTGCACGGGGAGGGGGGGCCGAGGAGAGAGAGGAGAGAGGAGAGACGGTTTCTCGCCACGCCAACCCGCAAAGCGCTTGCAACAATCTCAGCCAAGAGACAGTATCCCTACTGTCATGTCGACTGTTCTGTCATCAGTGCAATTCTGGCCTGTCCCTCTAGTTTCCATCGCGTTCGCCGGCGCTGGAACGCCGAGAGCTAAGAGACCAGAAACCCGAGTTGGCTTCCTGTCCATAATATACTTTTCCGCAGCATGTCATGATGAAACAAGAAAAGAGCCTCGTGAAAAATAGGAATCGGGGGAGGGAACTTCCCGAGGCCGACAACACTAGTATCGATGAGGAGGCGACGGAGTAGCAAAAATAGCAGTATGCATGTATGCATGGTATTAATATGCATGTATGCATGGTATTAATATGCATGTAGGTATAGAAACACATGTGACCGCTTACTAACTAAACACGCTTAGACTGAGGCGGACTACCAACAACTCCCTCCTGTTATGACCACATGGGAACGTCTTGCTCATGAGGATTTACTTGTATGTATATATCCGTATAGTATGCGTATGTAGATACTTTATGCAGCATGTATACACACGACCGAGAACGCCGGTTGCCGTATCTTCCGTGCTCAGTCACAGATATACCTAGGCGATAGTCCAGTCTGCCCTATTTTTGGGAACCGAACCGTTTTAACTCCGTGACCCGTCCTATCCGGCCTCCTCCACGTGTGGTATCAAACTCCCTTCGTGGAAATGTTGCAACACCTAAAACGCCGCAAGTATCTGTGTGTGGCTGTGTGGCTGTGTGTAGCCCGGTAGGGTCCGGCCTCTTTTGTAGACCAAAAACTCCCCCAACAATCGTAGGACGATCTGGAGAAGAGTCCTCGAAAAGCCCCTCCCTCATAGGGCTTTTCGATGTGTGTATAATTGTGAGCGCATGCTTTGCCGACAGCCGTGTTACGCCATGACGTCCTCATTGGCATCTCCCATGTTCGTCGGCGAAGCGACTTAGCTTGGTTCTCCCTAATAGATATTCCGGCGAGATCCGCCCCTCCCGAAAAGGGTAGGGGAGGGGGGAAGTTTCCGCGTGGAAATTCTTTAGCGTCGTGACCGTAGATAGCCTGGGAGAGAGCTGCTCGATATTACTCCTATGCGCACTCTTGCCGTACCCCGTCAAAAGAGTACCAATCCGATGAGGCGCCGTGACTGGTTAAAATTGACACCTCTCCATCTGAGATATCTGGCCGTGCTCTAGCGCCGTCGAGGGCGGGTGGTAGGATAGGTTGTACATGTTCCAAGGCTGGTAATGGTAGCCGGTTGGGTTTATAGGGAGAATGTCGATGGGCGGACATCCAAAATCTAGAGGCGACCGGTCAGAGATCAGCTATGATTTCGAGGGAAGGGGGCGAGGTGTGAGGTGAGACATACCTGACTTCACGTCGTCGAATCCTGCCTCGCCGCTGACACACGACATCGTTGGAGAATGCGTCATCGGTGGGATTCTGGACTTTTCAAAAACGGCGGACGACCCACTGGTGGCGATGTAGTTGTTTCCGAAGTCATCCGTAGCACCCGAGGAAGCGGGACTTGAGGCCGTCGACGGGATAGAACACGGCACCGCCGATGACCAGGCCTCCGTGCCATCCGGTATGCTGCCGTAGGAATTCAGGCCCGTCTGCATCACCGGATAATTGGAGGCGGATTGGCTGAAGGGGGCCGGACGCGGAGGGCTTGAGCCGTGATATACTAGCAGAGCGATATTAGCTACTGGACACGGACGGGGAAATGGAGCTGGGAGAGAGATGACTCACGAGGTTGGTAGGCGTCGCTCGTGTCGGCGTTGCGGAACCCCATACCCTCCCTTGTGCGGCGAAGTTCGTCTTCGAGAGCTTTGTTACGCTGGATCAAGGTCTGGATGGTGTGGTCCCGGTTCTGCTGGCCGCGGAGTTTTTCGATTTCCCTCTCCAGGCTCTCGATGTGCTCTTTCGTCCGCGCTCGGATCGCCCTCTGAGCCTCACGATCGTTGGCGCGCTTCCGAGCGAGCTGTGCCGGAGTAAGAGTAGACACGCTCCTGGTGCCTACGCCGAAAGAAAGTCAGTCGACCCCGTCCAGTCCGAGCGAGATAGAATGAGGGGGGGGCAAGAGCTAACCTTTACGCTTCGTCGTCTTCCCCGTGTCTTCGACGGACTTAGCTGCGTGTGACATTGCTAGACTCGGTACTGGTTCGACTGAAGGTGCTTCTATCGTAGACCCGAAACACAAGGCAGTGGAATACCAGCTTGACATGTGCTAAAATTGACTTCGTATTGCTGTAATAAGAGTCCAAACACTACTGGCTATGAAGGAGGGAAAGTAAGGTAATATATAGCTGATAGGATGGCCGGCATATCAGAGAGTTACCGAGTGCAAACGGGGCATAATAGTTAGTCACTTAGACTGCAGCGAGTACAGGCAGGCGGCTAGAGCTGCGAGAGGGTGGTTCCGTGAGGGGGTCTCCATTCCCAGGGAACCCCCCTGATCTCTTCCACAACAAAGTTACGACGGAGACAGTAGTATAGGATGGACTCGAAATCCCGGTACCTAATGAGTAGCTAGCACGTTTCTCGATAACCCGGAGAGTTACCGGATGTACACGGATAGACATGTCGAGTACCTATTTGCTAATATCGTTGCTGGGGGATGGTCTGGAATGTTCCGGCTACCCTCTGGGGTATATGCCCACCACCCTGTCTAGGATGTGGCCATCCTATCGACGAGTCCGAACGTAATGTACCGCCGCCCAAGCCCAGGCATTCCTAGTAACATAACCACAACCCGTAAATGTCATAGATGCAGAACCTGTCTCTCGCCGTATGTCACATTACAGAGAAACGGTCTTGCGAGCAAGGTCAGGGTGCCGAATAGACTCGAGACTACGCCACTGGAGGCACACCTGCAAATACCGGGCCTATGGAGGGTTCGCCAGGGAGCCTAACTCCACACCACTCTCCTCAAGGGTGAGCTGATAGTGCGCGTGATAGCATGCCGGGGAGCCCTGGATGAGATAGGATACGACGGCTTCGGAAAATCCCTATTGTGCGAATTCTCCGTCGCGACGACGTAGGACGCGTAGGCTGCGTGGCTGATGTGGGTTTCGAGGTAGAATTAGAGAGCAAGAAGTCTGAGAAGGAATGACCTAGGCAGTAAAACCCGGAAATGCCGCTAAGGCCCTCGCCTCTCTCTCTCTCTCTCTCTCTCTCTCTCTCTCTCTCTCTCTCTCTCTCCTCCGCACTACATCCGTGCTGGAGAAGTCCCATATCCTTGGGTCATCTACTGGCACCGTGATCACAAGCTACCGATCAGTGTGTTTTTTGGTGGGGATCTGAGGAGGCGCCGGATGACAGTAGCCAAGATCACCACCATCCCTCACTTAACCGACTCCCCACAAGTATCTCGATTACGTCTGTAACAATTACGGCGGGGTTGAGTCCGATGTCCCGTCTAACGGGATCTCCAAGTGGATAAGGCTATGAAGACATAGCTTCGGGGTAGTAGAGCGGGCTCCGATCTCGAGGATGTGAGAAAGCGACCGATATGCCTCGATACCGTAGCTAATGGTTTTGGGGTTCGCCATCCAGGTGAATCTTCCAAGTTTCTTTGAACTCTGAACTATTTTTTGTCATCGGTTTCTGAGTTTGGTATGCGTAATCGAGGCGTACAGAAGGCTGGTACGTTACTATACATCACTATACTGTCTCTCGAAGATCGGAGAGATCCACTGGAGGTCTCTGCTTGCCCCAAGGAGCCAATGCTACTAAGAATGATGTCAAAGGACTTGGAATTATAAACCACCATCAAACTCTGGTTTGGTCGACATGACTTGGTCGCCAAACACGTTAGTTGTGAGAACTAAGTGTCTTTCTGGAGCTGGCTGGTTTGGCTAGTTATAGTGTAGTTGTTGGAATAAGGCATCGTGAGCGATGCGATACTAGGTCGCAAGCTATGCCTCGATTGATGCTGCGGCACCCGGGTAAGCAATATCGTATTTAGGGTGGGAGGAATAGGAAATCGACAGCTACTCTGTAGCAGTGGATGACCTAGGTTAGAAGAAAGGTCTTGTTATCTCCCTCTCTTTCGCCTCCCCCCCCCCCAATCCTCTAAACTAGTTAAGACTAGCCGGTTGATGAAGGCTATATCGAGGTTCGCAGTATCACGAAATCTTAGGATTGACATCTTTTACCGCTGACACTAGCTCCTCCATACCACCGACTTCCGTTGGTCCTAACATACCAGATGGAGGAAGGGCCCAGCCGGGAAGAGGGCTAGTATAGCACCAATCACCTCCCGCGTCCTCGTATCGCAGGCTGTGTAGCCAGAGAGTGAGTTCCTGCAGTCCGGGATCCGTGTATAGAGGCGTATCGCAGACGTCGCATAGCTCTCCAGACATCTTCTCTGCCTTCCGCTTATAATATTCGTCTACCATCTCATCGTGGTAGGCCACCGCGTCGGCGACCTCTTCTTTGCCCATACGATTAAGGCGCGTGATGATGTCCTCATCCGTGTTCTCGAGGGCATCAGGATCGTTGTAGCCGAGATTGATGCCCCATACCCTTTGGTTAGCGTAGATGGGATCGTTCTGGATGGGATGCCCTAGGTGCTGGAGGTGGACTCGTATCTGATGCGTTCGGCCGGTGACGGGTAGGCACCTCACAATAGAGTAACCCTCCTTGCGCGCCCACGACCTGACCTTTTCCTCGGGGGCCTCGCCGAGCGCCAGAGGGGTCTTCTCGTCCTGTTTCTGGCGGGACTCGCACGGGGGATAATAGGCAAGCTTCTTGAATACCGTCCGCGCCGTCTTCCCGTTCGCGCGTACTCGGTTCAGGCCGAGTTTGGGGGATATCTGGAGTAAGGGTTGATTACACACCACTTCTCCGTCGGGAAAGTTGCCAATAACACGAGCGATGTACTCTTTCCGCACACTCCTCTGCTTGATCTGAATGCTGAGCCGGTCTGCCGCCTTGGGGGTTTTCGCGACAAACATGATGCCGCTGGTTAGTCTATCGAGCCTATTGCAAGTGTACGCTATCCAGTCGGGGCTCCTCTGGGCCTTCATAATTTCGATAACCGAGTTAAAATTATACCTCCCTGCCGGATGGACCGGTATGCCAGAGGGTTTGTTTATCACGTAAATGTCTTCATCTTCGTGTAATATCTGTATTGGGTCGGCCGCGACGGGCGGCTCGTGCCGATGTATCGTATGCGAGACCAACTCCCCGTTCCTGAGGATGTGGTCCGGGCCAGCGGGTTTCCCGTTGACGCATATCTTACCCGTCTCCATAGCATTCTTGTAGTACGCTAGCGGCCGATCTCGAAATTCACTCTCAAACACGTCTATCAGCCTCCTACCCCTCCACCGCTCCTTGCACCAGGTATTGTACGTGAAGTGGTAGGGGGCCACTCGCCGTAGCCCGTTCTCGAGGTAGTAGGGTGACGGCCAATCGTCAAGGGGCCGGGAGCCATTTTCCTTGAGAAGCTCCCGGTCTGCAGCAGCAGACACGTGTGCTTCCGCCATGACAACGGGGGTCTTGGTATCGATTCCAATCTAGGGCGCGATTTTTGTGGTCAAGGCCTAGGAGATGGGCGCCGATAGAGGGGGTGAGAGTAGGTTATCGTTCCCTAGGAGTCGTTGAATGATGGAGTAGGTGACTGGAAATTATGGCGGTGAGCTTCGGCAGTAACTACGATTCCCACCCCCGGTTAGACTGCGTAGACCCGATGGAACCGTGGATCCGGATAAACCCCTTTGCTCCGAGCCCTGGGGCTTCGGTTATGTAATCACTATGTACCTAACCTTTCCTTCCTCCATACCTACTGCCTGCAGGCATCCATCGTTCCGTCGCTCAACACCTCTTTACCATCACCAACCAACCAACCCCGACCACTGCCGGCCACCTTTTATTCGCATTGATGGCCTACGACTCCAGAAATACACCCCGAAAGCATTGAGCGAGCCTGTCCCAACACACATATAGCCCAATTGGCTCGAGACATGACTCAAACTAAGGAATTACTGAAGGGCCGAAGCCGGCAGGACTATCCTTTCACGCTGGAATATCGGACACGATGGTGCGCTCTCCTGCCGCTCAAGCGCGTCATTCGTTGTCCGCAGTATCTCATGCCCTCCTAGGAGCGATAACGACATGTATGACCACATGAACAACTCGGTTTACAATTTCCTGTGCGTAGATCTGAGTACCTTCTCCTCCCTGCCCCTCCTCTTTGTCATCCTGCCCCATATTGTGAAGGTCGTCGCCTGACATGACACGCGCGCCGCCAGCTTTGACTCGGTCATCAATTCGTATCTGATTGACCACTGTGGACTTCACCCGCCCACTTCGGCGCAGCATCCTCTCATAGCTCACACCCATTGCGATTACTTCTCATCCATATCCTACCCCAAAGTCGCCGACCTATGTCTAAGAGTCAACAGGCTCGGCACGTCGAGCGTGGTCTACGAGGTTGCGTTGTTTGAGAGAGGCGTCGACCAGGTCAAGGCTGTCGGTGAGTTCGTCCACGTCTTCGTGGACCGCGCAACGCAGAGGCCGAACGCGAACGGGATGGGTGATCAATTGCGACAGGGGCTAGAAAAGCTGCTCGTGAAGCTCAGTCCTAGCAAATTATAGCGACGACGACTACACGAGGTGCTGATACTGTAGCTTCTGGCGCGCCCCGTCCTGGTCCCCACTGGTCAGCATCTTCTCCAGCAGCTCCAGATCCCCCAGCGCTAGCTCGGGCGTCTGGTTGGGGTTTGGTACGCCCGACAGTATGGATTCGGCCCAGGCCTGGACTTCCTCCTCGACACCGCTAGTCTTTTCAAATACTTTCTCCTCAGCCACGGCGTCTTGACCTATCCCCCGAACCACGACCACTTTGGATCCTTCAGTCTTGACGACACCCTGCTCACACGCAACCTGGAACTCGAAGGCCTGGAACGTCGTTCCTACAGCCATGATATACGACCCGACCGCGCCAGACTTCGTCTTCAGCACCGCGTTGATCGAATCCGCCGGAGGTAGGTGGTCCGATACTAGAGAAGTCTGGGCTATGAGGCTCTCGACGGCATTCTCGCTACCTAGGAGTCTCCTCAGGGCCGCTGTGAAGTGTACGCCTCCGTCGAGGAGGAATCCGCCCTGATACTCGGGCTTTGTGCGCCACGGCGTTTTGTAGTACTTGTTGCTTGTCTGCATCATCCAGTTCAGCCTCACGATGAAGCCGGTCACCCTTCCGAGCTTCTTGATTTCTTCAGCAGCGTAAGCCCAGCCCGGATTGAAGCGGAAGTTCTCGGCGACGGCAAAAGATGCCTTAGTACCGGCTGAGACCTTTTTGTAGTACTCGATGAGCTGGATGGCAGTAGCAACATCCTTAGCAACTGGCTTCTCAGCCAAGACGTGTTTTCCGGCCGCTAAGGCTTTCTCGATGTAGGCAGGCTGGTCCACGATCGGCAGCGCGATGATCACGCCGACAATATCCTGGCGTTTGAGGACATCTTCATAAGACTTGCCCTGCCCAGAGTCCGAGGAGTACAGGTCCACAGAAGATGCAGCATCGCCAGGGATAGTCTTGGCGGCATCTCCCGCCGTGCTCAAGGATCGAGACCATATCGCCTTGAGGGTGAGCAGAGGGGAAGCCAGAGCAGCGGGCTGGCCACGGGTTAGCTAGCGAAAATCGGTCCCAAGGGTCTGGATCTGCCCAGCGAGCTAGCAGCGACATCTCGAATCTTATTTGACTCGGTGCCGTCCGTTCGGTATACTGCGACTGGCTGGGAGGGGACCCTAGAGACACTCACTATGTGCTGCTCCTTGACAAAGATGCCGCCGCCGATGATAGCCACTCCTACGGGATCCATTTTTACTGATCGGCCTCCAATTAGGGCCAGATAACAACAGATCTGTGTCAATGCTACGAGACCGCTCCAAGAATGATCTGCGGAGGGTTAAAAAGGGACAGCGAGGGTGCGGGAAGAGGGACGAGAGAAGAGAGGATGGCGAGAGAGGGGGTGAGAGAGAGAGAGAGAGGAAGACGGAGGAGGTTGAGAGAGAGAGAAAAGGCAGGCCGGGCCGGATTCCTTAGCACGGCTTTTTTTTTTCTCCTTTTCGACAGTTAAGAGTGCGAGGAGGCGGGCGGCCTGGACGAGCCTTGGAAATCCTATCGGCGCCATCGGAGGGAATCCCATGATGGCGCCAGTGCCTCTCTAGGCAAGTCCGCGCAACCCCGCCGGGCCAACCCCTCCCGTCTCCTCGCCTCCTCCTACTCGTCATCGCGGGCTGCCGTGCACTCATTGGCACTACAACGTTGCGATCAGCAAATCCGGAACCGGGATGGCTTACCTGTGCATACGCAAGTATTCGTCCAGGCCGCGTCTAGTTACATGCGACCACCCTCCGCGTCGCGGTAAAAATGCCCACTCCGAATGGGGATCCCGTATTCACAGATAGATGCCGTGATCCATATTAGTCGCGTGCCAACTCATTTCTATACCGCGATCCGAAAGACGGCACATCCTGCCCGCGCACACACACCACATTTGTACGCACTCATAGACGTACATACAGATAACCAACCCTCTCCAAGAGATATCCCTTAGAATCAGCATCGAATTGCCGTGGCCACAACCACGGCCAGTCTAGCGATCTGGACCGCATGCGACGAACCAGAAGAACCGTCCTCGGCGGCCATGATTAGTATTCAATTGCTGCCTTCTCAACCCGCCCAGGTGCCATTACGTAACGCGACCATTGTGTAAACGGAGAAACAACAGTAATCAAACGTATATTTGAAATACATCTCACGGCCCCAAGTCTTAGGAACTACGGAAAGTCGTGCTGCATCGCATTGCTGAGCATTGACATGTAGTCTTCCTCTCCTCTCCGCTGCATGCCGGCAGACGCTGTACCCATCATGAGAGCGAGGACGAAACAGACGAGTCGCTAGCAGTAGCCTACGCACCCTATTCCGTTCGCTCGGTCTACCACGTAATAGCGGCTCTCACGACTCGCAACGTAAACAGGTCTATACCATCGCAGCCCAATTGCCAACTCGCAAGTCCCCCTGCCCTTCCCTTCTTTCGTCTCTTCTCTTTCTTCTTCGCGTCCCCAAACAGCATTGCAGATCGCGATGAAAAAAAGAAAAGAAAAGAGCGCGAAGATTTGTGTCCTCTGGAGGCAGTGTAATACCAGAGGACAACGGGCCCCCCGCAAGCCTTGAGTATAAAAAATTGGTTCATCTTTTCGCGTTATTTTGCTCTTGTTTCGTTTTCGTTTTTCTCTTCTTTTCTTTTTCGTTGGAAAAAAAAAGAAAGACGACGAGAAAAGGAAAAGAAAAAGAGCGCATATTGGAAAAGAGAGAAAAAGGCGTTTGAAAAAGAAAAGAAAAAGAGAACGAGAAAGAAAAAAAAAGAGCAGTCAGCCAAGTCGCCAAATCCAGGACAGCCAAAACCAGCGAAAGACCCGGGCGTCGCTGATCCTCTGCCGCGTTCGCCGGGCCGCAGGAGCACGTCTGGGTCAGCGCGCGGGGGGGCGGAGAGCCCAGCTATGGCTGGTCCCCCACACGCCCACACGGCCCTCCAGTGCGGGCGCGTTGCCCTGCGGGTTTAAACCCGGCGCGCCTCGCTCGGAGCGTAGAAAGTAGCCTCGGTGCGCCCTCTCTCTCTCTCTCTCGCTCTGGCTCGCCCGCCCGCCCGCTCGCGTACATACGTTGCTGCACCCCCTCACGAGGGGCAAGCGTTTACGTGCGGAGCGGCGGGACGAGGACGCGGACGCGGACGGAGCAGAGGAGGCCACGCCGAGTTGAGGGACCCGTCTGCCGTCATCGCACGGCCCCGCCCGGAGGGCCGGGCGCCGCCTCGGGCCGAGTCAGGGTGTCCGTCCGCTTCCGGGGACGGCGACACGAGGCTGCTGCGGTCGGGCAGAGTCCCTTGGCGCGCGGCTATGCCCAGAGCGGCGCGCCACACCCCTATCCTTTGTATTGTATTGTATTGTATTGTATTGGTATGGTATGGTATAGGATTGTATGGTTTCGATCGGATGAGAGATGGGAGGTTTGTCGGTCGGAGGAGAAGGGAGTTGTCGGTCGAGAGAAGGAAAGAGGAGTTGTCGGTCTGTAAGAAGAGGAAGAGGGGGTTGTCAGTCGATTGAGAAGGGGGAGAGAGTTGTCGGTCGGCCGGGAGGAGGAGAAGGGGGTTTGTTGGTCGGTCGAAAGAAGGGGAGTTGTCGGTCGATAAGGGGGGATGGGAGTTGTTGATCGGTAAGATAAGGGGGGGGGGGATGTCGGTCGGTAATAAGAGAAGAGAAGGTTGTCGGTCGGTCGAGAACAGGAGGGGGGGGGTTGTCGGTTGGTATAAGGAGTTGTTGGTTGATTGAGAGAAGGAAGAGGAGTTGTTGGTTGGTAAGAGGGGAGGGGGGAGTTATCGGTCAGTTAAGAGAAGGAAAAGGGGAGTGTCGGTCGGTCGGAGGAGCAGGAAGTAGGAGGTCGGTCGGGAGGAGGGGGGGGGGGTTCGGTCAGAGGAGCAGGAGCAGGAGGGGGTTGTCGGTCGAGTATAGGAGGGGAGAGTTGTCGGTCGGTAAGAAGAGGGGGAGAGAGTTGTTGGTCGGTCGGGAGCATGAGGGAGGATTTGTCGGTCAATAAGGGGTTGTCGGCCGGCCGAGAGGAGAAGGGGGCTGTCGGTCAGTAAGGAGATGAGAGGAGAGTTGTCGGTCGGTCGGTTAAGAAGTAGGGGTTTGTCGGTCGATCGAGAAGGGGGAGGGAGTTGTCGGTAAAGGGAGAATTGTCGGTCGGTAAGGGGATGGGGGAGTTGTCGGTCGGCAAGGAGAGCAAAGGGGAGTTGTCGGTCGAGGGAAGAAGGTGGGAGGGGTGACTAGTTAAGGAGGATGAGAACGCGGCAAAGGGACGAAGGTCTTATTCAATATGTTAATATATCAGGAGACATCGACGTGCGAGCCAATGAGCAGAGATTGATACTTTTTCAGACCTCTCTGTCCGCGGATGTGTATGAGTGTGTGTGTGTTGAAGTGGAGGGGGAAGAGAAAAGAGGTAGGGGATTTTTCAGATATCAGGTTGTGAGATGGAAAGAGGAGAGAGAAACACCAGAAAAGGAGCGAGAGAAACAAGTACGAAACCTGTTCCTGAGGCGTTGCTATGGAAAAGAGTAAACGTAAACAATCGCGAAAGGGTTGCCATGGTGTTAGAGGTGCAACTCTGTTCACCACCCGCGGTCAGGCGTGCTGATATATGAAGCATATGAGGAATCGAGGATGTGAGCAGGGGGTTACTTTCACGAAGAGAAAAAAGGGGGAGGCAGGGGGGTTCGCCTAGATCAACGAGCCGAGAGAAGGGAGAAGAGTTGAGAATATGGAGTCAAGTAGGAATTGTTTCCATATGCGTATGGGAGAGAGGGGGGGGAGAAAGGCAAGGAGAGAGAGATCGAGATCTCAGGGGTATGAGTCGAGATAGGTTACCAACTTATGCCCGAGATAAGGCAGAGAAAAGAATTGGGATCATAACAGTGTAAGAGTTGTCAATTTGGGCCTTCGGACAGAGGAAAGGAGAGGGGGGATGGAGAGGGAGGGACAGAAAGAGGAGGACAGGGAGAAGGGAAGAGGGAGGGGAGAATTGGCATTATAACTAAGTAGAAGTTGTCTGCTCATACCTGAGGCACAATCAGCAACCTTAACTGCGTCGCCGGTCCGGGCGTGAGAAGAAGAGAAGGTGATGAGTAGAGAGAGAGGTAAGGAAACCTCAGCAGTCTGAGTCGAGATGAGTTGACACCTTACGGACGGTAGCAGGAAGGGAGAGGAGAAGAGGATCAGGATCATAACTGGACCCCTAGGAGTCGTCCCCGAGAGAAGGAGAGAGGCGGGGGAAGAGAATTAGGGAACCGAGTGGGAGTCATCGGCTCAGACCTAAGAGACGAAGGGCCCCGGCAGTGATAGTGACATTGAAAGGGATGGGCGACGATGCTGAAGAGGAACGGGCAGCGATGCCAAAAGGGGATGGAGAGTGATGCTGAGAAAACAGTGGTGATGCTGCTGGAAGGGGTTGGTGTGTGGTGGTGTTGGAAGAGACATACATCGTTGTGTTGGGGAGGAATTCGGGAGGAGATCTATCTACTTATATGATTCTGGGATTCTGCCGCAAGGCGGAGAGAGGTGCCAGCCGCGCGCGTGCGTGTCGGCGAGAGGAGGCACACCGAGAGAGGACGCGTATCAGCCGGACTGTGCGGGAAACTTTCTGCGTTGACCGGGCACCCATACTGTGTAGTTGCCCGTAGCCAAAACATTCGAAGGGGTTCCAAAGAGGGATATCTATAGGTTGCGGGGACGACGGACACTCTGGAGGACTATGCCAGGATGTGAGGCCATGTGGAATACGCGGGGTGCCGGAAGTATAAGGGGTGCTTCGCCAACGTGTATGGCTCTTCCGTCTCCTGTCCGCGACGGAAAGTTAAATCAGGGGCGGCCTCCGGGGGTCCGGCGGCCGATGTCTTTCTTTTCTTAGCACATAAGCACCAGACAACTCTGGAGACGACGTAGCCCCTTACCCAAGGTATACATATATATTATTGCCGCCGGCCGTGGCACTGCCACAATGGGGTGAAATCAGGGAGGCTCGCTTGAGTTATTATAAGAGTCAATGGGCCGAAGTATAATCAATATACTAACCATGGAGGGTGTTCGTGGCCCCTCGACATGTGTTGCTCCAGGACGCGTGGTAACGGGTTTCAATAAAGTAGCTACGTGTATGATACGAGTTCCCGGGTCCCGACGATTTAATACATGGTATATAACGCAGCGAGATCCTCGCTGGTTTCCCTCCTCGCATATCCCATTTCTACGAGTTAACAGAGTGCCTTCTGTGTGGAATGTTCTGGCTTCTTCCAACTAGCATTCAACAAGGGCAGGGTTGACTTCTCCTGAGTATGGGATGACAGCACTCATCTATGGTTCGGACTCCGGACAGTTCGAGCAATAAACCTAGGTTTCATGGCAACCCCGGCTGAATACGAAGAAACAAGATGTCGGATATAGCAACGCGTCCGTACTTACATATGCTAGATTCTAGTTAGACTATGAAACGACTAAAAATAGATAGATTCCGTAGAAACGCCCGTCTCGAGCTGTATCTCGCAACCTCTGCGCCTAACAGGCCGCGTTGCCGCTGCCGCTGCCGTCCTCATATACGGTATCTCGATGCGGTCCCCGCGCCATCGCCGCTCCCTAAGGGCGTGGATGCTAGAGCCTCGGAATGGATCACCTGAGAGCAGCAGGGAGAGCGAGTCCTCACTTCCTACCTAGGCGTAGGTCTCGCATCTCCTAGAGCGAATTCTCTCTCTTTCTCTAGCCCACTATCGCTGGTCTCGGAGATACAGGCATGTAAGCGAAACGGCAAAAGGCTATATACGCATTTTACGCGCGCCTCGAGCCCCTAACTGTCTCGTCATGGAAACCAGGGGGAAAAAAAGAAGAGGCGGTAATGGCTGTGGGCCGACTACACCATACCGCGGAAACCGCCCTGGCCCCCCAATAGGTAGGTAGGTAGATAAGGGGGGGGGGGGGGGGGGTCACGGCGAGAAAGCTCGCGGTTCTAGCGTGCCCGACGACGGATACTATGAGTACCGCTGAGGTTTCTAACAGGTCTCGGCCATTACCTGCTGATACCGTTGTCTATTTAGCTAGGTATATAGGTAACCCCTTCGTCGTCCTCCGGGAGAATTTCGGCACTAAGTGTGTGGGTCTTCTACCGGAGCGATGACGGGTGATTATTTGTGTGGTCTTGTGGGCGGGCGGGTATATGGATGTAGGCATAGGAAGATAGGTATACCCAGATAGGTATATAAGAATGTGTGTGTGTGTGTGTGTGTGTGTGTGTGTGTTGGGTAATATGTGATAGGTAAATGCAGAAGCGTAAGTATATAAGTGCAATATGCCACAGTGTATAAGCGTTCACCGACGTCCGTATCCATCTACCCGCACGCTTACTACGCTCCCCCGTTCCACCCGTCCTCACCTCCGCCCCATGTCGTCAACAACCCCGGCGGCCACCTCACCCCGGTGGGACGACAACCTTGACGGCCAGCCCAGCCCAGCGCCAATCACACCCCCCTACTCTCTGCCCCGTCGGCCACCCCTCTCCCTCCCTCCCTCCCCTCCTCTCCCTCTCGTCTTATTTACCTACTCCTCTTCTCTGAGTCGTCGAGCAGCCGCGCGCACCCATCGAGCCGCGAGCCGCCTCCCCTTTACCCCTTCACGCCTACCCCTGTCTGATGCACCGCGGCCACGTGCGGCGCGCCGATGTTTATTTCGACGTCCCCCCATCGCTCCTCTTCTCTTCCCGGCGTCGGGCCGGGCCGGGCCGGGTTCGTTCTGGATGGGCAGATGCAGGTGTCAGTCAGTGTCAGGTGAAAGGTAGGGGCCGGGGAGCCCGCGGCGACATCGCCTTAGGACCCCCTACTACTTATGCCGGGATCCCCCTCATGGGCCAATAATAGGTAGGTTGTGTCGGTGTGTAGGTGTGCCTATCTACGTGCCCGCCGGCGAGGTTGCGCGTTTCTACGGGGCCCGGCGTGGTAGCCGATGCCCAGACACATTATACCTGCACGCCTACGCCTACACCTGTCTGCGCCGAGGAAGCCGACGTACCCTGACATTTTTACCTAGGTACGTTTCCCGAGCGTGAGGGAAAAGGGCGGAGGTTGGGGAGAGCGTGTCTACGTGTGAGAGACGCTCGCGTTCGCATGCGGTTACGCAACATGTCGACTTAACCTAGCGGCGACTGTACTCAGAATTGTACCGATTTAGTATTGCCTCTTAAGATGGCTATTTAAGTTTGGATGTCCTCCATCCCCCGCAATCGCCGTATCTCTGCCGTCCACGGCGACGTGGTGTCAAAATATCTATGCGTGCCTCTACTCGGGCATGTGCTGGAAGGGCTTGGCGAGGTGCTCGGAGCAGAAGGGCAGCTTGCTGACAGTCCAGATCTCGGTGTCCTGCGTGTGCGTCCTTCGTCAGCCCGGTCGCTCGTTCTCGACGGGACAGTTTTAGAATTAAAAAAATCCACTCTTTCCATCCTTTTCCCCAGGGCGAGGTGCGCGAGAGATAGGGAGAGAAAAAAAAAAAGAGAACACTCACAGGCTTCAGCGCCTTCTTGTCCGCCTCGCTGAGGGTCCCGCCCTTGAGGGCGATGATCGGCGGCGCCGCCTCCGGGTCGTGCGCGATCGGGGACCCACACTCGGGGCAGAAGATGCGATGGACCGGCTGGCCCGACGACCCCGCCTTCGCGTAGCTCTTGGTCGTACCCGTGATCGTCAGCTTATCCTTGGGGACGACGACGACGAGCGCTACGGTTGATTCGCCTGTTAGAAAGTGGACGCCTCGTAGACGGGGTGAGTGGCGAGGCCATGTCTGGCCTCGGATGGGACGGATTGGATAGAACGGGTTCATGGCATGAAAAAGTGGATGGGCGATGACGTTGACGAGTAAGTGTATCTAGGCGTTAGGTTAGGGACTCACAGTAAGTAGAGCCCGACTGGCGTTGGCAATCGTCGCAGTGGTCGTAGCCCACGACGAGCGGGTCGGCGTCGACGGTGTATTTGACAGCGCCGCAGAGGCAATGACCTGAGAGACCCATTGTGGCTGCGATTGCGTATGGCCGGTCTTGTTCTTGTTTTTCTTCTCGATCTTTGCTGGTATTTCTCTTCTGATGGCGTACAATTCGGCTCGGCTGCGTTACGCTTCTCAAGCCGGCGGCGGTTGTCTACGATGGGAGGAAAATCATGGACTCGTCGAGCTGGGTGAGAGGGGTGCCTCTTATATATACCTAGACAGAGGTATCTCCAGGACGGGGCGATCAAGGACGGCTAGGGAGGCCATGGTATCGATGGGAGGTATCCGTGTGATGCTCCTATGACATAGCCTAGCAGATCGGAATCGAGGGAGGTAGGAAGTCGGCTTATGCCTCCACCCCCTCCCTCACACACCCCGTTATTCCTAAGTAGATAGTCTCGCATTATCTTACTCTGCCTCTCCTAGTATCACCTCTTGGGTGCGGAATAGATAGGATGGCGCTTGGATGCAGCCAGCCTTCCACCCCCTTTACGGCCAACCGCGTGGAAGAAGAGCTCACGTACGTACGGATCCTGTAGGAACGCAGTTATTTCCCTCCGTTTTCTTCTTGTTTCGGCCGTCGTCTAGGGCGGTAGAGCTCTCTCCTCTCGACGGCGGGGTCGACAGCTCCAGCAAGGGGTCCCCGTTGCCGCCCCCTTGGCGGGGTAAGCATGCACCGTCCCTTGTCCATCGTCCATGTCCCCATATGCCATGTCTCACGCTGCTATTAGCTTACATCCAGAATGGAGCCTGTAGCACGAAAACGAGCATGTGTCTTCCGTTTTACTCTACTCGATTCGAGTTCGGCGTAGTTTCTCTCGCCTGTGATTTGCTTCTGATCGACCTACCTACGTCCTGCATAGTTTGGTTACCGGCCGCATCGCCACTTGCCCTACCTCCGTGACGGACGCGAGGACGATAAGAGGAACTGGCGGTGTCTGCGAGCCACTGAGAGCGGCTTTCGTTGTCCAGTCGAGTCGCTTGGGTCTCAGAGATCGTCGCATGCAGCCTCGGCCGAACGAGCAAGTGGGACACCAGAAAGATCAGTGTACCTAGACCAGAATCAGACTGATCCCGCATCCATTCGAGCGCCATCGCGGACAAGCCAGCCTACTTTGTCGTGGCTCGTTCGACGGAAGTGAGACACCAGAAAGAGGGTGATCTCCCCCGGCTCTCCGCAGGTATTTGTCAAAGATCCTAGTCCCAGCTCCGCTCCGCTCATCTAGGAGGGGGCTGAAGCCACCAAACCTCATCGTGGGGCGAGCCCCGAATGGACTGGTTGATCTTCTGAGGCCTATGTAGATGCCCGTGCTTAGTGGTTCTTGGTATTTGGAATTCGTCCCTCTGAGGCGCACCGCAGCGTGTAACTAGTCGCCTCCGGCGTCTGCGCGCCTGGATCTACCGTGACAAATCCTCCGGGGCCTTTCCACCGTTCCCGCGCTCCACGCTGCCAATCTCCGTGCACCTACAAGGCCGCGCCCCTGATTCGCGGCGGAATCTACCGCATCTTTCATGCCATTTTTACCTATGCCAACGCAAATCATGTCTGGCGCCGCCGAACCGAGCCTCGCCTTATCGCAACCTGTCCTAGGTCCCCGTGTCGTCTGTCTGCATCACACCGAAGTTTCGACTTCATGCCCGCAAGGCTGGTGTGACTAGCGCCCGCATACGACGTCGAATCTCGGACGGATGGACCCGAGGGCAGCATGACAAATTCATCTCGGACCTCGAGCTAAAGGACTCGCCCCCGACTGGCATAGCTGCGAGCCAAGTTTACCCAGGAATAGCTTTTTTTATACCGTCGTGGGATCGGCTAATATGGGAGGAAGCGGGTTCATGGGGACGAGGCCCGTCTTCTCATTTCTAACCCTTGCGCGTGATAAATACATCGACGTGCTCAGGGGGCACCGCGACGCAGGCTACCAATAACCTGATGATCCAGTGTCCGAGTTGGAGTAAACCAACACTGCCCATGGCAATCCTATCGGCGATGAACAACATCAGCACCGAATTCCTGTACACTTGTCTCGACCCACTATCCTCCTGAGCTAAGACATAGCCGTCCATGGCTGAGAGTCGAAATCCTCTTATGTCTTGTTGGGGGGCGGCACTGCCGCCGAGTTGGCTCGATGTCAAAGGCCGCTCGATGCGCTCGGGTCTCCGCCGCAACTTTTTAATGGCCGTGAAACAGCCGTATTCGAGATAGTTAGCAGTTTGGAGTGGTGGCGGCACATCTTTTTTGATAAACAACTTTGGGAGCAGATCCGGCTTCGATACCCAAATTGTGTTGTTTTCGTTTAGCTCACTGAAGATGGCCTCAAAATCGTGGGCGTAGTGTACGAATCTCGAGTAGAAAGCCGGCGTCAGTACTTTAAACTCCATCTCATCAGCCGAACTTCGATCGGTCGTTGGTTCCATAGTCTCCGGTAGAGCGTCGGCGATACCGCTAGGCACATATCTCACCACGAGTGGAGTGGGCGATTGTTGGACGAGATGCTTCAGATACCTTCTAAACAGCGGCTCTAGCCGACACTCGACAGCATCGGCATGTCGGCCGATGGATGTCCTCAGGGGTTCCGGTCGGTACCAAACGTGGAGTTTCCGCCGAAAGAATAAGAGAGCTGCCTCCTTTACGATACGGGGAAAGGTGACGAGACCGACCCACCACCAGCGAGCTAAGAATATAGACCTCTGAAGGAATGTCATTGCTGCCGGGTCGATCGCATCTCCTTCCGAGAAGATGCGGGCCACCAGCTTGGCGTGGTTCTTGGAAGAAATCAGATTTATTGTGTTATCTATCGGTCCTCTCCCTTTCCGCTTTTCGAGCAGAGGGTCATGCGCTGTAAGCGAGTAGGTACCTTTCCTAGAATTAAAGGGGGATACGTGGAAGTCCTTGGGCCAAGTCCCTCTCAGCGGCTTGGCGTTTGAGCCATCGGGTTGATGCGCGTATTCTGCTGGTTCGATCTCAGGTGGGCCTATAGATTCCGGCGCATCGTCGTGAACACTTAAGAAGTACATTCGTCTCTCGTCGAAGGTGTTGTTGACCTCAAGGACGATTGCCGCCAGAGATTTCTCAGCGGAGTACAGATACCAAAAAGAGACAGGGTTGAAATGGTAACCCAAAAACTTAGCCGCCGTCACCAGGTAGGCGTGCGGGTAACGAGAGGGATCGATACCCTGCGCCGGTTAGCTCTAGTATCTTCGCAGGTAGGGATCTAGGGGGCCATCGACACACCTGGGATTCGAGATAGGCATGCAATTTTCCCCTTAAACCGAGGTGGCCGCTGCCTCTTTCGAGATAGTCGGCGGCATCCACATGGTACCAGCCGTCGACGGCGAATGGGTTCCTGCCACTCGATACCATGCCGCCCGAGACCCCGGTCCAGCCGACAGGGATGCCGACGAGGAGATACGAATAGGCAAAAGAGTGCTTCTCGGGGAAGAGGCGAGCGTGGGTGGTTCGGCACGGGAATAGCAAAGGCTTGCCCAGCCCTCTCCACGGAGAGGGGGGCTCCACCGACGCCGACCGGCTATGAAATTGGACACGGTATCGGAGATAGGTGACGGCAATCGTGAGGACCAGCGCAGCTTGCAAAAAGGCGTCGGAATAGTTGTCCTCGAGGAAGTTGAGGACGAGTGGCGCTCTCGTGCAGAGGAAGACGGTAGCAAGGAGTACTAGATCGCCAAGGCTTCCGAAGAGGAGGTAGTAGCAAAGCGCGGGCGCTCGCAGGACTGCGGCATAGAGGAACGCCCCCAGGGAAACGTCCATCCTATCAATGGCTAGTGGCGGCGGTAAGCCGACACTCGAGGCTGTGGGAGCGGTGCTGCCACCCGTCTTCAGCTTGTTGGAGGTGCGGTCAACATCCCCCAAGGGTTCGTGACATCAGCGGGAGGTGTTCATGCGGGAGGCGTAGTGCCGACGCAGCTGTCCGGAGAGCGACGAAGTGGTTGTCTAGGTATGAATGCGAACTAGGAGGAGAGATGAAGGAAGGGAGGTGATATGCCTAGAGGTAGTAGGTAGGTAGGCAGGCCGGTAGGTAGGTAAATGACAATGGAGAGGACAGGTTGCCGAGCCACAACGGGTATGAGTGCACCAGCCACAGCACAGCGACCCGCTCGCCAAATCAAAGTCGAAGCTTTCCAAGTCCCACCAAAACAGCAGGGCTCGCCTTGGCGTCCCATCGCAGGATGTTGTGGGCGACGGCGTCGCCGCGCCAGTTGGTAGGTACCTAGTACAGGATCACGGTGCTATTTAGCCGCGGGCTCACCTCGTACCTGTACCTCGTCTGCATTTTATTTCATTACCTGGCCGTACAGGTACTTATTGGAAATAGGTATTTCCCGTTCGCCGGTTGAGTCAGCGGCGCCGGTCACCGCCCGGGATGCCTCCCTCGCCCCCCAGTTCTCACCCTTCACCCTCATTCCTTCGTCTTCCACAGCCCCAAAAAGCGTCGAAGGGTTTATCTGCATCAGCCAGCCCCTACTCATATACATATATCCCGTCCTGTCCCGTCCACCCTCGCGGCATTGGCACAGCACACGACCATTTTCGCACCTTCAACCTCGACCTGTTGTCCTTTTCACCACACGCACAACCTGTCCACCAGACAAGAAACGACACAACACCACAGCAGAGCACAGCACAGCAGAGCACAGCACAGCAAGCGCCCATCTGCCACCTTTTCCATACGGACGTCCCCGTACCACGCAGCCACTCCCCGCAAGAGGCCAGCCATCACCATCACCATGTCTGACGACTGGAACTCGGTCACTAAGATCGGCAGCAAAGTCCGCGGCGGTGCCTCGGACCGAGAGACGGTGGTTCGAGGCAAGTCGGCCCTCAACGCCGCCATGCGCTCCGGCGGCCCCATCACCACAGAGAAGAAGTTCGCCACCGGTAACTCTGTAAGTTTCATTCCCTCCCGTTGCTATTGCCGTTGTCGTTGCCCATCGCCCCCGTCCCCGTCGCTGCATCATCCATCCTGTCGAGAGATTGTAATAATCCCTCGTCACTACCTTCGCCCGCCCCACACTCGCACAGCATCACACCAAACACAAAATACATACACCAGACGCGTGTGAAAATCGGGCCTACGCCCGCAGCCCATGCGCCAAAGCATATGAGACGCACACCTACAACAACCATAGGCACACGCTCGTACGGGGCATTACCACCACCGCACGTCTTCCCCGTTCTCCAACTAACCGCCCCCAAACCACAGGTCGGCAAGGGACCCGAGGGCCAGCGCCTCACCAAGGTCGACCGCAGCGACGACATCATCAAGCCGAACACGGTGGGCAAGGAGGTGGGCGACGCCATCAGCCAGGCGCGGCAGCGGGCCGAGCCCAAGATGACGCAGAAGGACCTGGCCACCAAGTGCAACACGACGCCGGGCATCGTAGCCGACTTCGAGCGCGGCACCGCCACCCCCGACCAGAAGGTCCTCTCCGCCATGGAGCGCGTCCTCAACGTCAAGCTCCGCGGCGCCGGCATCGGCGAGCCCAAGTTCAAGCCCAAGGACAAGAAATAGACGTGAGCGGGAGCCGGCCGGGAAGGAGAGAGGGGGAGATAGGAAAGCACAAGCTAGCTACGAGCTTCTAGGGGCGACCGGATGGGAACATACAAACGGACGAAGGCGGTGGGGCGGGTTTCGATACCGTGGACGATAACATACATTCATAGACCGTGCATTATATAGACAGATGGGGCAACGCGTGACAAGAACCGTGAAGTAAAGCGGATGGGGAAAAGCTGTACGATGAAGTGTACCGGAGGGGCCGGGGGAGCACGTGTCTTGGTTCCTGGATCCCCGTCCTTCCCCGGCCTGCTCCCGCCGCGAAGACGGGGCGTCGGCGGGACTTGGTCCGCTCGCATGTACAGTCTCTTGCATGGAGAAGACGGGAGGACGGCGAGCAATAGACTACAGAGGCACACCTCGTCGGCAAGTCTGGTTTGATGTTTGATATTTCGAGTTTCATTACTTGCGGTGGTTACACCTAGATACGCCCGCAGCCTCCGCGGAAATGGACAGAACGCACGCGCGCTCGCTATGCCGACTGGTACGCCCTCCCACCCAATCCAACACGATAATACAAGAACCATTCATACCCCGACGCCGCAAGGCCATGCGACGCGATGCCATGCCATGCAATGCAAAATACAGCCACGCAGCAGTGTAACAACACCTCCCCCGCCGACGCCCTCTCCGCGCATTATACAATCTCTTCGTCTTCTTCCTTCTTGTTCACGTTCCTCTCCCTTCTTATTCTTCTTTCTCTGCCTCCTCCCTACTCCTAATCCTTATCCCTATTCCCCTTCCTTTCCTTTCCTTTCCTTTCCCCACCGAATTCCTCCTCTCCTTCTTCTTCTTCTCACCTCCCCTCCCTCTGCAACCGCGCCAACAACCCCTCGACCCGCTCGCGCAGCTCCCGCGCGCCGACCTCGGCCGCGGGGTCGAGCACGACGGCCTCGGGGCGGCCGGGCAGGCGCACGACGCGGACCCAGGCGGGCGCGACCTCGGCGGCGAGGAGCCGCACGCACGCCGCCGCGTCGTCGCGCGCCAGCCCGGCCCCCCCCGGCGCCGAGTCCCGCAGCCGCTGCACCACCGCCGCCATCGCGAACCCGGACCCCTCCGCCCGCCCCAGCATCCCCAGCACCGCCCCCACCGCCGGCGCCCGCTGCAGCGCCGCCCGCCGCGCCGCCTGCGCCGCCGTCAGCTGTCCCGCGCCCGCGCCCGCCGCTTTCTGCTGGGCCTTCGCGCGGAGCCGGTCGAGAAGGCTGAGCTTCGGCTGCGGCTGCTGCTGCGGTTCTTGCTTCTGCTCCTTCTCTTCCTGCTGCTGCTGCGGCGGCTCCGGTCCCGGGCCCTGTCCTAGCTTTCTCTCCCGCGCTCCTCCCGTCGGCGGCCGCAGCTTCGCCGCGCGCTTGGCCTCGAGCCCGCCGCGCAGCGCGTCGAGGCGGCGGCGCCCGGCGTCGAGCACCGGGGCGGCCTTGGCGACGGATTCGCAGATTGTGACGGGCGCGCGTGGCAGCGCCGCGAGGAACGCGCGGGCGTCGCCTTCCTCGTCCTCGTCCTCGTCCCGCTCGCCCGCCTCCTCCGCGCACCAGCGCGACCAGCGCGCGCGCACCTCGGCCGCGAACGCGGCCTTGAGCTCAGCCTCGCGCAGCGGCGGACGCGGCACCGCCCTCGCCGCCGCGCCATCCTCCGCCGCGGCGCGGATCTCGAGGCACACCTTGCCGGGGCCGTAGTCGACGAGCTCGAGGAGCGGCGGCGCGGCGGTGGTGTCGGCGGCGAGCAGCACGCCGAGGCAGGCGCGCACGTCGTCGGCGGAGACGGCGCGGCGGCCCCACGCGCGCGCGGCGTCGGCGCGCAGCGCGCGCAGGTCGGCGGGCGCGCCGGCGCCCGCGTGCGCCGCGTGCAGCGACAGCGTGCGCAGCAGCGCCGCGTGCAGGTCGACGAGCGCGGCGACGGCCGGCGGGAGCGCGCGAGCGCGCGAGCGCGCCCCGCCCGAGTCGGCGTCCGAGACGGGCGTGTCCGGCGTCGTCGGCGGCGGCGCGCACGAGTCGCCCGAGAAGGATGACAATGACGACGAGAAGCGCGTGCTAGCCGGCGACGACTCCAGGCGCAGTTTCTTGAAGAGCAGCGCGCTCGCGTCGTCCGACTCTGAGGCGATGCTGGCTGAAGGGGTCGGGCTGCGGGCTCGCTTCCTCGGCGGTACGCTGATGGTGGTGGTGGGAATGGCAGCTAGGGGGGCGACATGGCGTGGTTTCTTCGGGGGGCGGCCGCGGCCGCGCTTGGCCGGTTGTGATGGTAGTTGTAGTGGCGCGGTTGTTGGTGCGCGTAGGGCGGGAGCCGCAGCAGCAGTAGCAGTCCTCTTAGGCGTCCCCTCGTCGGCCGAGAGCGAGTCTTCGACCTCGCTCGGCCGCGTCGCCGCCTTACGCTTCCGCGAGGCGGGCGTGATGGGTTCGAGCGCGGCGGTAGCGCTGGTCTTTCTCCGCGTAGAAGTTCTAGTAGTAGTAGTAGCAGCAGGTGTGGCGGGTGTGGGAGAACTAGAAGCAGGGTCCTGCTTCTTACTGTCGGTCCTCGCGGTAGTGGTTTTCGACACGCGGGCGAAGCTGCTGATGCTCGCCGACGCGTGCTGCGGCTGGGGAGCGGCGGCCTTGGATCTAGCAGACGCCTTCCGACGTTGCTGCTGTCTCGCAACAGGGGAAGAAGCCATGGCGTGGACTGGTTTTGATTCACTTTTCTTTCCGTCCTCTCTGGGCGGAAAGAGCAAGTTGAGATGATGAGGCACAATCAGACGCGGGAAAGGTCGAGACAACTCTGGCTAGGCCCGGATATTCGTGACAACGAGAAAGAAACTACAATGGCGGGATTGGTATGCTAACACGTTCGACTTGTCGATGGATCGAATGTCTCTCTGTTCAGTCGGTGAAGAAAGATTGTTTTCGGGGAATGCAAACGAGGCACGGTTCGCAGTAGGTACATATGGGTCTGTAAAATTGAAACCGGCCCTGGGGCGCGCGGGCCCACGCCGACGCGTACATAACAAATACACGGCGGGTATGAAAAGGGGAAAGACGCGAAACCCCCACGGACCAAGACGCGTCGCGCGGCAGATCGCGTAAATAGGTGGGGCGCGTCTAGCGTTGCCACTCGCAGGTACGTACCTGACACCTGACACCTCTGTACTCAGTACCTCTCATAGAGATCCACGTACCTTTTATTTGCCTCCCCTCCGGGTGGCGGCCCTGTTCGAGCAGCCGAGGTTCGTCTTGTGTGCTTCTCGTCTATCGATAAACAAATACATCGGCACTGCTCGCCTCTTCTCCCTCTCATCCTCGCTTCCGATCAACTCGTATCGTCCTTCTGCTTCGTTGATTGACTGATTGATTCCCTTACCATAGGTAACAACGTGTTATAACTATCCGTACATACACGCCGGTCCTCCCAGCAAAGCAACCTACCCAAGATATTATGAGTACTGCGTAGCAACTCCACCGAGGACTGCAACTGAGCATCGTCCCTCCGTAGTTGCGTTTGCAGCATTTAGCAATCAAAACCCATCCTACAAACGCAACAACTCGTTTCTCTCTCCAAGCCCGCATGGCTTTTCTGCATGGCTTTTCTCGCCTTTTGCTTGACTGCGTCATATATAACCACGGCGCTACCAAATCCAGGCACCAAACCATGCCAGAGGGCGACAAACTCTTGACACACAACCGGGAAATACCCAGCACGACGAGGAAGAGACGAGACATTTGCTACAGCTCGTTGCGGAAAAAAAATTTATGGGGTATGCGTATGATCAACTATCGCACCTAGTAATACCATCGAACAAACAGACCAGGGTCAAACAAGACCAGAGCGGCGTGCTGTGTGGGAGTAGCACCACGACCCGAGGGAGCATAACTGGTAAATTGGTTACCAAATGAGAGACGCCCCCGGCCTGACCCTACTTTTTCCCCTCCAATAAGATGGATGCCGTAAACAGCCACCTCGTCGACTTTTGTGTAGACCCATTATTCCCTTGTGCCAGAGTATTTCGCATCCATAAACTCCCAAGTCAGACCCCCCGCTACCCGTACACAGACATGCAGACACACAAAGACAACGCAATGCAAAAGCACCCATTCGTAAGATGCGACGGGGAAGGGGGCAACCTCAACGACGCAGTGTTCGTTGCCAGTGATCCGGATGAAAGCTCACCGGGCTCGGCGGCGGGGGCGCGGGCACGTCCCAGTCTCGCTCCTGGATGGAGCGGACGGGCGTAGTCTGCACGCCGTCCTGCAAGGAGAGCGTGGCGTTCAGACTAGCGAACAGGTCCGTAGAAGAGGTGGAGCGCATGCCCTTGTTGCGCGGTGGTGTGACCGGGATAGGGGCGGCGATTTGGCTAGGCATGTTGAAGGTGTGTCCTCTACGACCAGACGTTAGCAGTGCACCTCGACAGGCAGACACCAAGTTGTCGTGGTTAGATAGGTGGAAGGGGGGCGTACTTGCGACTAGGTAGGTTGCTTGACTATTTCTTGCGTATGGGTAGTCTAGAGACCAACGATGGAGATGTCGTCGGCAGTAAGGCACTCTAGAGAGAAACCGAAGAACAGATGTATGAGCCGAGATACTGCTTGACGAGCCTCTTTAAGTATGTTAGGAACTCGATCAGACGACCTGGCGGTAGTTCGCGAGGCTGATGACGCCCTGGTGGAGAGAGACTGTGGGAGAGGAGAGGTGGGAGAGGTGGAAGCAGGTTTGTCGAAGGCCAGCAAGACAGATAAAGAAGAGATACTGGGGAACAGGTCCCTTGGGGTATGTCAAGGTAGGGTTATGTAGGCGTCTGGGGGAGAAGGGGAAGTTGTGGATTCACACAAGATCCGGGTGGCAGGAGCAGGTAGAAATAGAAATCGGGGAAGGTGTATTAAGTTGGAAGAGCTCAGGCAGGCAGGATGTAAGTGGGTAGGTACCTAAGGTACCTAGGTAGGTAGCTACGTACCCGTTAGGCCGGGGAAGGAAGGGGAGCGACGGGGAGGGGCGGAAGGGGGTGAAGAAGCAAATGTACCCACAAGTACCTTGGCAGGTCACTCGAAGTACCTTCATACAAGAATGGAGAATGGGAGAGGGTGCCGCAGCAAGCAACTGCCCAGAAATAAGAACGCGGGAGAGGTGGAAGGAAGAAGGCATGGAAGGCGTGGAAAAGTGTGCCACCACCGATGCGTCATGGATATATGTGGGCAGGAGGCAAGAAGCGCCAGAGACATGTGTGGGAAGGCTTGCAGAAAAGGCGGTGGGTATGCGGGTGTAAGTCACACACCAACAGCGCAGACGGCCGGGACGCAACGCCGGTTGCATGTAAGGCACATCGCCGACAGGTAAGTCCAGGTAGGAGGTAAGGTAGGACGTAGACGTCGACAGGGCAGACGTCGGCAGAGTATGAATATCGGTAGGATATGGGCAGTATACGGGGATGGGGAGAGCGCAGACATAGGTACATAGGAAACTATCCAACTTACCTCCTTCAAGGCGTAATCCCCGGTCGTATGCCGTCTCTCTCGATCTCACAGCCCACAGTAGCAGTACTAGATACTAGGGTCTGCAGCGTCTGTGGTGTTGACTCCACGGAGATAGGAGGGAGAGGAGAGATGGGGAGGGGGGGGGAGACTCTTAGCAAAGCTGATGGCGGCGAGGGGGGAGAGTGAGAGGCGAATGGGCGAGAGAGAGAGAGAGAGAGAGAGAGAGAGAGAGCAGCCGGTGCTCCCGTCCGTCCTGCTGGAGATGTCAGATCCCGAAACCAGATAATCGACCGCCGGTGGATGGGCGTAAAAAAAAGGAGGGGGTCCGGCTGGGCAGGCTCAAGGTTGTAAGTTGCTGAAGGTTGTAAGTTGTTGCTGAAGTATGCAAGTCGGTCACAGCCAAGGGTCGACGAAGGAGAGAGGAAGATGGAGAGAAGGTGAGAAGAAGAAGGAGAGACAGAGACGGTTATTATTCAAGAGGCCGGGTTCAGGTTAGACGTCTCACCCCGACCATATGCTTAGGACATGCGTTGACGTGGATATATTGACGTTGCTGGCGGATATGTGTGTGTGCTTGTGCGTGTGTGCTGGGTGGAAAGGGGGTGATGTGTAGGCGCAACGTATGGGGAGCGCGTGTATGCGGGTGTATTTATGGACACATTCCGTGCGTGTCTGGTCTGTGCATGTGTGTGCAACTCTCCAGTCGTCGACTCTCGCGTGGGATGTGTGGATGTCAGTCAGTGTTCAGTGTGTGCGGGAATGAAGGGAGGTCCGTAGGCAGATACAGCAGCAACGTAATTTGTCCCATCGATTACGCCGCAGTGACCGTGTATTTACTGGCAAGGCGGCAACGGACGGAGAGGAGAGCGAGAAGATTGAAAAGGGAAAAAAAAAAATAACCCTCCCCCAAAAAGAGGAGAAACCGACGGGAGGCAAACGGCTGCGAATGGTTTTTTTATTATGGGCAATGAAATGTCTGATAAGTCGTGAATACCGGGGGAACAGTCGAGAACACAAACACGCAGCTATGGGCATGTTCTGACCCCAGATTCAGTCATTCCGGGGACCCGTCACCCCAGGCCCGTTCGATGAGACATATGTTGGGTACACCCAGCCAACCCGAAAGGACATTTCAAGGCTCACGTCTCGTCGGACAGGACAGGACAGGACAGGGTAGGACGGGCCTACACGACCGGATACACCACCACCACCACCACCACCACCACTACCACAGCGTGCTACAGACGTGCGACTTGGACAGACATATATCTCTACAGGTACCTACCTACCTAGGTAGGTACATACCTAGCCCCTATAGGGGTGTTAGGTGCTCACATCAGGACCTACAGCCACCGCGGCCGGAGGGGAATTGGCCGTGTGCACTTACCAGATTGGGCAACACGCTCTCGATAGGTCCCTGAGCCAAGGCGGGTATCTCTTATAGGAGGCCGACGTGAATCCACCAGGCCGTCAACACCATCTCCTCTCAACCCGTCCCATCTCAACCCATCCCCTCCCATCCGTTATTATTATCATTATTATTATTATTATTATTATTATTATTACATTACATTACGCACACACCCGCGCCGCACCCAGGCCATGTAAGTATGTGGACGTAGGCGCAGCCGTCCCCCCACGATACGTGCGAAACGGCAATTGGAAGCAATGTACAAAGCCTACATACATGTTAGCATTCCCGGGGACGATGGAGACCGGAGGGGCCCAGGGGGGTGGCCATCGGTAGGTACCACCTACGTATAGGATGAATCACAGAGGTGGGTGCATCGCGGTTTTGTGGTGGCACGTATCGAACCGCCCATCAATGCGAAGTATCTGCCTTACCCCCTCGAGGGCGATATCTTACGAGGCAGATAATGCCAGGTTCCAGAGGTGAGGCGCCTTAGGTGCCTACCTCTGTTTCGACGAGCGTAGCTTCGGTATATCAAGCCGGTGAATTTGTGAGGCACACATATAATTATCAGCTAACATGGGTGTCAGGTACTGTACCTACCGACCAATTCAATGTAACCTACCTACAGGTAGGTACCTAGGTAGTTCCACGCATGCACCATTACAGGTAAGTCAGGTAGGAGGTACCTCTAACCTGGGTATGGAGCCAGGTAGGTACCCAGGTACCTCATTCGACACCTACCGCTCCCGGATTCACCATCCATCCGTCACCTATAGACGGGCATGCGTGTCTAGTATCCGTCCGCCCAACGGTCCCAACATAAACATAATCGTCTACAGCTGTGGCTGGCCGGAGGCGGGTTCGGTCGAACCTGAGGGTCGATTCTCGTCGGCATTTAGGGGGAGAAGGGAGAGAGATGAACCGGCGGGAAAGGGAGTTACCTAACTCGAATGGGAATGGACGGTCGGGACATTGGCTAAGCCTTATTTATCCTTACGCCTCCCATCCGGGGGGACCTTGACCGGGGGGGGGGCCAGCCATTGGAACGGCGACGAGGAGAAACCCAGCCGGCATCCAGGTTCCTCCCAGAAACCATGCTGTGCTATATCGCCATACCCACGAGCACCTAGGTACCTAACCTTGCGCGGCACGGGGTATGTGTCAATATAGGTATGTAGGCGGCCCAAGGGACGCAAGTACGAGGTGCAAGTAGATAGGTAGGTAGGTTAGGTAGGTAGGTACCTAAGGTGGGTAGCAGGTACCCAAGAGGGCCTTTTCACCCTTATTACGTGGCGACAATCTATAGTAAGACTCCTACGGCGAGCTCTTGTGGTCGCTCGAGGTAAGCGTCCCTTCGGAGTATTGCGATGTGAGAGCTAAATGCAGACACACAACATTCCACAGGCCAACTCTATCCGGTGCTAGGCCCGGGCATTATGAATCGTTTAGGGACCGAGGGAGGGGACCGGATCCATCAGGATCGCCTCGGGGGTTTGGCGGAGTCGCCATCTCGCATCAGACAGAGAAAGAATATTGAAGAAAAGCCACCTGGGCTTGGGGGCTGTTGTTACGTGCTAGCATCTCGCTGGTGCTACACACCGAGTCTTCGGCCTACGGGCAAGCCCACGGCCAGGGCCTGAATACGGAAGCTGCCTAGCCCAGGGCTGAGACGAGAATGGGGACGGGAAAAAAAAGAAGAAGAAGAAGAAGAGAGAGGGAAGAAAACAAAGTGCCGTCGGGCCTTATTTCGTACACGTGTACCGAGTCATCTATATGTATAAGCGAATCTTCCTGCTTGGTTTCGCCCCCCTGCATTTTTTTTTTCTCTTTTTTTTTTCTTTTTGCTATTATAGCATACCAAGAATCCGCGAACACTCGTTACTGGCAAATAACCCGCAGGTGCATCGCGTCACGTTTCCGGCCGGTTGGGTGTGTCCGACGTCGTGTGCTGCGACGGTCGACCAACGTAGGCGGTAAGGGACGCAGCGCAGCAACGACGGCGTCGGGAGGAGAAAAGATGACTCGACGTATTGGTGCGCACGCTATGCGAAGCAGAGGCGGGCGGCATAAGCGACGGCTGCGCGGTGGCCATCGACGAGACGCTTCGTGCCTGGCCGGTGTAAATGCGTCGACATTCTGGTGCGGTTGAACAACTGAAATCCCGATTCGCAAGTTTCAAGGGCGAGCGAGAGGAGGGCGCTGGACGGGGTGCGAGATGATAGCTGACCAGCCAATCTGGGCCGGGAAGAGACCCCGCTCGGGTTGCTGGGAAATTTGCATCGCGCCTCACATTGATGAGCGACTCTTTACCTGGACAGGCTCGAGGGAAAAGGGGGCGCGCAGAGAGAGAGCACAAGGTATATGTTCCCCCCGGCCTGGCGTCGATTGGACGTTGCCGACTTCCCCGGGGCTGTCGCGCGTACGCACATACGTTACATACGTGCGTATATATACGTACATACATACATACATACATACATACATACATACATGAGTGGGGTGGGGTGTGGGGTAGAAGAAGGGCAAGCGGTGGGATGGAAGCTCGACAGAAGAAGCCAAGCCAACCAGCCAGCCAGCCATCGAGCCAAGAGTGAGTGTCCCCATTCGGCGCCCGGGAAGGGGGGGGGGGGGGGGCGTGGGATTGAGAAACAGCCCATGGCTAAAGGCAACCTTCGGGTGGCAACCTCGCCTCGGGCACGTAACCTAGGTACCTGTAGTACACGTAGGTACCTACATATGTACCTGTTTAAGTACCTAAGGCAGAGGTCGGCATGCATCTGAGGCGGCCGTGCTGAACATAGGCTACCGGCCTCAGGTACCTAGGTGCCGTGTCGACTTATGCAAAGGCTTGGGGGTGGTCGTAGGGGGATTATGGGGTTGATCCTGGGGGAGGGGGTGCGTATAAAAGCCATGTGGAAGGCAAGGACCCATCAAAGGTACATACATTAGGTACCGTAGGTACCTAGCTTGACTTGCATGACATTAGGTTAGTAGGTAGGTACCTAACTTGACTTTTACGACATTAGGGCGTTAAGGTAGGGACCTCTGAGTAAAGATTCCTAAGGTCAGTAGGTAGGTAAGTACCTTAGGTAGGTACCTACCTGGCAGCCTGGACATGGGCGACATGTTCCACGCCAAGGCCTCCCACTTTGTCGCCCCAGCTGCCGCGAGCACTGGATTTATCGGTAGACACCACTCTCTGCCTCAACTTCTCTGGCCCTTCCCACTACGTGCCTACGATGCATTAGTAACTACTACTACTACCTGCCCACGATGGTAACATGGATGGATATACCTGCGTGCCGTTCTCTTCCCGACCGGACGCTGCCTTAGGTACCTCTAGCTACCTAGGTAGGTAGGTACCTCCTATACATATAGATGGACCATCGCCCAGATGTACGTACCTCCCACTGCTGCTGCTGCTGCCGCTGCCGCCGCTCGAGGTGCTCCTCCTCCCTGCGGTCCTCCTAACTCACATCTCACGGAGGAAGTAGGTACCCT